CCAGGGACATCTAAATTCTCATCCAAAGGAACAATCAAATCCGTTGTGCCAACAACCACATTTTTAGAAGCTTTAAGAGAGGGATGCAAGATAGAACAGGACTCCCTACGATGACCTAAAGAATTACAGTGAGAACAGAAGTGAGGGATATCTTCAAAAATAACATTTTGAACATAGCCTGAATCCACCGAACCAACCCAAATTTTCTCAGCATGTTTTTTGGTAACATCCAATTCCACAAGTATACGAGCCATAGATGGTCGGGAACCAACCGCAGTCGCCAAATCCGACTTAAGAGGACGACCAAAAATAGACCCTAATCCAAGAAGAATTCTAGGAGAGAACAGTTGAGGCCTAAGTAAGGGGAAAGAAATCCAAACGAGCACAAAAGGAGAATCCACCTTAATGTCCAAGTTAGGGGACCATTTTACAACTTTCATAAAACAATTTCGAACAAAGTAAGATCTATGCGAAAAAATCCGGCAATAGTCAAAATCATTCACCAATTTGATCAACACATTACGGTGATTGAGAACTGTAACCGAAAAATCACCTATCAACTTTAAGTTGAAACAAAACTTCTGAATAGCGTCGACCGAAGGTCGCCTACCCGGAAATCTGCCAACTAACGCAAAATCGAAAGGAGAAACGAGAGATCGCACCTCTTCCTCAGACATAAAAAGAGCGGCAAGCCACGATGAGAAGAAACCTTTAAATAAGGGAAAGACGACGAAGAACCCGCAAGAGCTTCCTTAAACGAGAGAGGTGCGGAAGCCCCGTTCAAAAACCCAGGATCACGAAGTTTATCCATCGAAAACAGGAAGGAAACTAATACCTTAGCCTTAAAATGAGAGGAAAACCCACAGAACTCGTCGAAGACGAAGGGTCGGCGAAACCCTAGCATAGCAGCTAAAGGCATCATGAAAAATAGAACCACCCGGATACTCTAGAAATGTTATCGCAATGAAGTTGAGTCGTGGGGTGTTGCATAATAATGTTTATATCTTGTATAGGTCGACATAATCAAATAAGGTCTAATATTGTAGTGACAATACTTCTTCTGTATGCTGCTTCTTTCGATGGATAAGTTATAGTTGTTCGTCTTTTAAACAAAAAAGAGACAAATGTTTTGCCTAATAAAATATAATATGCTATTGCAGATTTTTTTTTCATTAGTAAGTTTAACCCTATTGAAATCCAAATAAGTAACCAGCTCAAATATATCTTCATAAATAGGTAGATCATGATGTAATGTTCCCTAAACACAGTGAGGATTCATTTGAGTTGCTGAAAGTATTTACTGAGAGGAATATTCACATAGCCATAGGATATATCAAAGGTTACGACGTTAAGCTATTGAATATAGCAAAACATATGATAAAAAAAGTTATAGAATGAAATAAAATGCATCGGGATTATTAATTTGGTGTTTTGATAGTGATCAGATTGAGGAAAAGTTATTAATCAATCATACTTGAACGGTTGAGTATGTCGAAGGCATAATGGGTTTGATTGAGCGCAAAATTGTACATGAGTTGAGTTAGCATGGATGGCTATAAAACTGAAATGGATATGTAATTCCTTTTGAGTCTAATATAAGTGTTGATTGAGAAGAATATAACCAAGGGTTGGATTGTGATAAAAAAATTTTCAATGTATTAGATTTTGATTTATTATTATTCTTGTGTAGTAATTTTTTTTCATCCTACTCATGATTATGAAGGATAAATGCTACTTATGATGCTGATGATTGCAGAAAGATTTGTGCAATTAGATTTTGTGCTGCAAAATTCATGTGAAAGGTTAGATGTAGATTTTGAATGAAGATTTTAATGGCATCATTCTTGTTTCATATGATTAAAAGATAGATAGAGATGATACATTTGTGATAGAAGAGAAAAAGGAGCCGGTGTGCTTATGTCAAAGCCCAGACAGCCATTATAAATGATTGAAAAAATTTATAAATCATTAGGAGCTTGTTTAAAATCACAGGAACAATTATTACGTCTTCTGACCGGATGTAGAGCTACGTTCGGCCGCCAATAACATGTCGCCACGTGCTATTACTCTTTACCGCGAGGCCCGACGACTTGACCCGGACCGGAACCCGGGAATGCTATGTTCGCGATTTTCTCAATATTGCTCGGTATTTGCTCGGTATTGCTTTGCAAAATGAGAAATACCGCTCTGTGAAGACCAATACCATGCAAATACCGAGTTGTACCGAGTTTTTCTACAACTCGGTACAACTCAGTATTTGCTCAGGATTTGCTTGGTATTGTTAGGGATTTGCTCGGTATTGCTAGGTATTTGCTCGGTATTGCTAGAAAAAACTAGGCACAACTCGTTATTTGCTCGGTATTGCTAGGTATTTGCTCGGTATTGCTAGGTATTTGCTCGGTATTGCTTGGTATTTGTTATTGCCGAGCAAAATCGATCAATACCTAGCAATACCGAGCAATACTGAGCAATCTTGGGTCCGTTCTGGGTCGGGTTGTCGGGGCGCACGGTAAATAATGAAAACGCGTGGCGCGTTTCTACTGGTGGCCGAACGTAGAGTTGCGTACGTTCACCAGATCAAATAAAAGTTCAAATCACAGAGATGTAAGTTATTTCTTCAAATTTGTCATTAAGAAAAATGTTCGAAATATCCATTAGAGTTGCTATCATTATTAATTGCAGCAACTCTTATAAAAATTCAAATAATAGAAAAAACAAATGGTCTACAAAACTAATTTAAATTTGTCAACATAATATTAAATTTCATTATTTTAAAAAAATTGCCTGGTCAAAATAAGCCCGCTCTAAATTAAAAATGAAGAAAAAATAATAATAATTAAAATTGAATGTCGTCGCTGGAACGCGCTCAGTACTTAAGGAGATTCCCCTCCGCGTCACTAGCCTCACGCCTTCTTCGTGAACTCCCCGCGTCCCGTACACCCAGCAGGAAAACCAGTGGAGCACAGCTGGCGCCTACCTATTTTCCGTAAATATTTAAATCTCCGCTTTATTACTCAATTTTACGAATTTTAACAAACAAGCTGATTATCGATAATTAATTTCCAGCCGTTAGCCTGCTAACCTACTCTGCCCCCTCCAACGTTCTCTTACTCCCATTCAAAGGTATTGGTATCGGACTACGCGAATTTGAAATTTCCTCGAAGACGCCGATAACATTTAATTTTCTTTCCCCTTTCTTCCGTGATATTTGCCCCACAAGTTTTCTTTTGTTAGGGCATTCTGGGAAAGGTCACAGCTGGCTAGAAGGTCTGACCTGCTTAGCTGGAGAGAAAACGTAATCTGCTTAGCTGGCGACTGCTCGGTCCATCAGCGCAGCAGTTCCGACTTGGTGGACCACTTAAACAACATAAACCTGTAATTAACCTATTGGTCAGAGAAATAATAGAGAGAAATCACAGCATTTTTTCAGAAACACTGACTCAAAGCAAATCTCAAGCTAGATGGATGCTTGTGGATCTTTTAGTAAATTATTTTAAAATTTTGTATTATTCATTACAAAATTGTATGTTAAGAGTCTTTTATTATCAATGTAGGAGAGTCTTTAATTGGGTATCCATATTAAAATTTCACACTCATACTCACTCACGTACCCATCCATACCCAATAGGCATGGGTGAGTATGGGTACGGTCATGACCTCGTGGGTGGGTACTTAACATCGAGGATAAACCGATTTACATTGCTAATTATCGTATGAAGTATATTATCATAATCCTCACTACACAATGCACAACATGGAATCACACTGCAACCATGATAAATTAATATGATATGCTGCTTGAAAGTTTGCAGTCAGAGCAAATGACAATAATTCTCAAGGCCATCAGTCAGTCGCAGACTGCATTCAAAAAGCATGAAAAGTGGGTGGGTATGGGTGGATACGACATCCTGAAAGTCATCACGGATGAGCGTAGGTGGGCGAATCCCGCTCGCATATAGCGTGGTTATCCATTGGGTATCCAACGAGGATCTCATGTGAGACTTTGCGGTGTAACATTAATCTGAGCTTGAATTTTTCTCCGAAACACGCAGTCCCGGACTGGCCCATCACCGCTGGCTCTTCCTTCGCCGAGCCTTCCTAAACTTTTAATTTGAATTAAGTAATAATTAACTAGAGTGACTTCCAAGCTAGCACTCCCCTCATTCACTATATAAAATCCCGATAATACTACAATTCTCTACACCACATCTACAGATCGAGTTTCCACTTTCCAGATCGAGATTCCCTTCTACAAACATTTCTAGCCCATCGGAGAAATCTCTTCTCTTGCTTTTTATTCTAATGTCGTTAGCATCCATGGATTCTTCAACGTTGCTCTGCTTCTTTCTACTTTCCGCTCTTCTCTTCCAGCACTCGCTCGCCGCCCGGAGGCTCTCCGCTGAGGTAGAGAAGCAACCGCTTACCATCACCTACCACAAGGGTGCTCTCCTCTACGGCCCTATCTCCGTCAATCTCATTTGGTATGGTAAGTTCACCGTTTCCCAGCGCGCCATCGTCTCCGATTTCGTCGCTTCCCTTTACGCCGGCGATTACCAGAACCAGAAGCCCTCCGTATCTTCTTGGTGGACGATGGCCGAGAAGTACTACGCCCAATCGAAGAAGGCGCCGCCTCGTCTTACCCTCGGTGACCAGATCCTCGATGAGGACTGCTCATTGGGTAAATCACTGAAGAACTCAGACATTGCAGCTCTAGCGACGAAAGGCAAGCCTCAGCAAGCCATAAACGTCGTCTTAACGGCGGATGACGTTACGGTGGAGGGCTTCTGCATGAGCCGGTGCGCAACCCACGGGTCTTCTCCCCGGTCCAAGAAAGGCCGGTTCGCCTATATCTGGGTGGGCAACTCGGCGGTTCAGTGTCCCGGCCAATGCGCGTGGCCCTTCCATCAGCCGGTCTACGGTCCGCAGGCCCCACCCCTTGTGGCTCCTAACGGCGACGTCGGGGTTGACGGCATTGTGATGAATCTTGCTAGCATGATTGCCGGCACTGTTACGAACCCGTTCGGTGGTGGTTTCTTCATGGGTCCGGCGACAGCGCCGCTTGAAGCAGCGACGGCATGCCCGGGGGTCTATGGGAAGGGAGCTTACCCGGGTTACGCCGGCGATCTTTTGGTAGACCCCACAACCGGTGCAAGCTACAACGCCAATGGGGCCGACGGGAGGAAGTATCTACTTCCGGCCATCTTTGATCCGTCAACGGCTTCGTGTTCTTCTTTGGTGTAGTTGGAGGGAGCTTCTGTAGTTAATCTAGGGTGTTGAGAAATAATTAGTTTTGAATCATTTGACACGTTTAAAGGGTAGAGATCGTTAAATCTTATATGTAATTCTTTCATTAATTCAATATGTTCAGAACTTTTTTTTTTAGTTTGCCGATATGCATTTCATAATTTATGATTTTCCTCTTTGTTATCTGATTGTTGAAGAGAAACTGATCGATTTTAGATGACGAAAAAAGGTTCAACCAGTAAATGTAATGGAAACCGAGGTATTCTGGTGATGTGCTGGTTCAAAAACATTTATTAGGCCTCTATGCTCGCTTTGAAATTATGGAAAGCCATGGATCTTGAATCTACACTTTTGTGAGGATCAGGATCAATGCCGTGGTGTTTTGAATTCAAACTTCGAACTCGTTTGTTTCTTTTTTTTTTAATTTAAATTGAATCAACAGTTATTTATTTATTTATTTATTTTGCAAGCAAACTGTTGGATGACTTGTGATCGTTGCTGCTGTGGTTCAAAAGTAAAATAGAAGATTTATAATAAATATAAATAAAATATGGATTGAGTTGCAGATGATTATTTTGTTGGGAATTGGGCTATCGTGATATATTCTTCCACGCAAACTGTAATATGCAAGTTATCAGAAAATCCACTTAATGAAATATGAATTTCGATGAATTTTCGAATTAAGAAATTTTAAAATTAAATTCAGATCATATGAATTTCAATTTAAGTAAATTTCACTTAATACTATTCTATTTACATATTTAACACCTAAAACTTTAATATTACATCCATACCACCCTATATTATTTTAATATCAAATATACCACTTATATTTCTTTCCTACCACTCATATATTTCATTTCTACCACTCATATTTTGTATGAAAATGAACTATGGGTGGTATTTATGTAATATTAAAGTTTTAGGTGTTAAATATGTAAATAGAATAGTATTAAGTAGTATGTATGTAAAGCTCCCTTTTTTTTTTTTAAATTTATTTTGTTTGCAAGCAAACTGTTGGATGGCTTGTGATCCTGTGGTTCAAAAGACAAAAATTAAAATAGAAGATTTATAATAAATATAAATAAAAAATGGATTGAGTTGCAGATGATTATTTTGTTGGGAATTGGGATATTGACAAGCTATCGTGATATATTCTTCCACGCAAACTGCCCAACAATATGCAAGTTTATCAGAAAATCCATTTAATGAAATATGAATTTCGATGGATTTTCGAATTAAGAAATTTTAAAATTAAATTCAGATCATATGAATTTCAATTTAAGTAAATTTGTACTCAAATTAAATATTTTGATGAGACAAATCTACAAAGTTGAAGGTGATTTAATCTAATTGCTTTGCATTCTTTTGGTCAACTTGGGTATCTTGATGAGACAAATGTAACAAGTTAAATATTACATAATTTTGATATCATTAATGTATTTAAATACTAAAAATATAATTATGATTAAGAAAAATAAAATGGGTGTTTTGATTGAATTTTTTAATAATTTTGGCTCAATTTATTGTACCCCTCCCCTCCCCGATTAATTATTTGATTTTGAAGCTCAAGCTTGGAGCTTCTACCTTGACTTAGATTTAGGGAAAGCTGTGCTGTGGGACAATCATCATCCTATTGTTGTTATCAAAGTCAACTATACAACTTTTTTTTTACCCCACTATCTAATCACTTTCTTTGCATAAACACTATTGACCGACCATTGCAGTCTAACTGTCACTTTCTCGACCACTGCTGCTTGACTATAGAAACTAAATACTGTCATGTAACATCTATCTTCTGACCGTCGTTGTTCGACTACATCTCCAAACAATCATCTTGCTGATTATAGTCTCCTGATTGTGGCCTAACAATAGTATCTAAACCACTATAATCTGAATGCAATCTCTCTGTCACTGTTAGCCAACTATGGTCTAATGAACACCGCAACCGAACTATGATCTTACAAACACATCCATTGACTACAATCTCTAAATGCCTATCGTCCGATTATGATCTCTCAATAATCGTCGTCTAACAATGATCTCAATACAAACAATCAATTAATGGTCTCCCAAGTATCATTTTTTAATTATAATTTTCCAAACACCATCGTCTAACAACAATTCCTCGATCATTATTGCTTGACTACCAACATTTGACTACGATCTCCAAACCACATTTGTTTGACTGCGGACTCTAAACCACCCACCATTGCCTACTAGGATTTCCTCACTGGTGACTCTCAACTAAGTATTAGACCATTAACGCCCGAGTATATATATGCTCGTCGACTTCATCACATCGTTGGTAACAACGTTGATGCATGCCATCACTTATACGCTTGATACATCTCATCAACATAAACACAAGTGTTTACCAACTTTATTGCTAGCTATCATCAATAATGTCAACACCTGCCTAATACACATCGTTAACATAAATACTGTCACTCACTAACTTCATTACTTGCCATTGCTAACAACACCAACACATGTCATCTCCAATAATCATTATGCATGTGATTGATATAAACACCAACATCTACCAGTTATATTATCTTCCATTGACAATAACGTTGATTTACGCGATCACATATAAAGTTAGCACATGTCATTGATACCAGAACTAATGCATGCTAACTCCAACTCTTGATTTTAACACTATGATTTATATTTGATTTATTTCGGATATCTCCTAATTAAAAGAAGAATGATGTAAGGGCTTTAAAAATATCTTAAAACAATCTCAAGGTTATTATAAATTCTACAATGAAATTAATTTTTCGCAATTAGTGCCTACTCTTCCTTAACCCTTTCTGATTCCTAACGACTCTTCTCAGTTTATCAGATTTCTTATTGGTGGTTTACTATGGGCTTTGGTGTTTTTTTGTCGAGGAAATAGTTGAAGCTGAATAGGAGTCTCGGTGTTGGACCCATAGCTATTTACTCTTGCTTTCTTTGTCTCAGACTTCTTGTTTTAGAATTCAGAAATTAGCAGTTTAATTTGTAGTTTCTGAACATGTTTAGAATTCAAATTTTAGAAGGTTATATGATGATCTATGCTTTTTTAGTCTGTATCGCTATGCTGGAAGCAGTTTCCAATGCAAATTAAGCATATTTTTGTACAGAATTATTTTGAAGAAGTTAATGAACCATGAGATTTGTTTGAGCTATTTGATTTGTTGTAAATAGGTGCAAAGTTAAGTTGAGCACACGTGAATGAAGTGCAGAAACTAATATAGCTTTCTTAATAAGGATTTAATCTTGATTTATTTGGTGGCGTGATGATATATATAACTTTCTTAATAAGGATATGAACTTGATCTTTCATTGATTAACAAAAATATCATGTCTTACACTATACTTAATAAAATTATTGTATTTTAGTGGGATTAATGGAGTTCCAATGTACATCTAATGCATCAATGAAAGTATGCCGATTATAATATGAAGAGAAAAAACTTTATATAGAATCTAAAACCCGAATGGATATTTGGGTTATTTCAAATCATGTGTAAGTATGTCGATGCTAATATGAGAAGTGCTCAAGGCTTCAAATATATTATCTATCAGGGTGCTGATGAAAAATTAAAAGATAAATATCACAATGCTTCAAATTTAGATGATTTTTTACAAATGCAAACATGCAAATTTTCTATTACGCTTGTTAATCTAAATAATTACAGATTTTTCCCAAAGATGCAATATATTTGGATATTTCTCTCTTGAATTATATAGAATTAGAGAAAGTTTGTGAGGAAGGTCATGCAAGTGGAGATTGGGCTAGGTCAAGAAACTGTCAAGCTCCATTTAACACTCAACATATTAACTTAGATGATGAGATAGTTGGTTTTATGAGGTGTTGTAGATACATCATTAGATATTACATGTTTTGAACAAAATATTAGAGAACACCTTGTAGGAACAACAAAGCAAGCAATGTCGGCATCTTCTAAGGGGTCCATCCAAAGAAAAAAATAGTTGAAGGCATGTTGATGATCATAGTCGGTCCATGACTATATTACAATGATGATTAACAATGTAGCTCAAGTTACTAATGCAATTCAAATAATAACAAGAGCTTTTGAGGAAAGAAAAATGTTTAGTGAGCTAATGATAGAGTGATCTAACATTCCAGGATATTCAGTGGAAGAAATTGATACTATATATGAGAACACTTATCCAATAGCACAATGATGATTCATTCATTCATCTATGAACCTATGGAATAAAAGGCTCAATAGACGCGAAAGGAGTTTAAATAAATGATTCATTTGGATTAGAAGAAAGAAATTGTATGTTGTGGTTTTAGCCATTTATACTAAAATTCATTTTTTTAACAATTTGATTAGTTTGATTAATGTTTTATAATTGCAGATATTTTTTTGCATAAAGGCTTAGATGAGTGATGATAGCGTATACAAGGAGAATTAATAAAGAAGATTTCTTTTGAATGCCAATAATACTATACTGTTATAGATTTTGAAAAGTCTATTGAATGTTGATTACGTGATTTTACATTATTAAAATTTTGGGATTTTTAATTGTAGCTTTTAACTAAACTCTATTGAACTTTATTGAGCTTAAAAGAGTTGGTATGCTATAGATTTCATCTAGTAATGTTCAATTAATATGTTGCTAGTCTGATAAAAAGTATAGAGTCGTGATAATTCATCTAGCAATATATTTTATTAATGTATATAAATTTTTTTAAAATCTCATAAAATTATAATTCTTAATGTTGAATTAAAATAATTTTAATCAAATTAGAATATATTTACTTTACTCTGTAGTCAACCAACCAACCAAAGAATAGTTCATGATGCTCTTATTTTACTTTACATATAACCAACCAAATAGAAAATATATTTTCTCTGCATTCAATTTACTTCAAATCAGATACCTCAAAGTATTTTTTTTACGTTGTGTTTACTTTACATTGCATTTACTTTACACCTAACTAAACAACTCATAATCAATCATCCTATTTTATATGGATCAATTAATGATCATTCTTCAAATCCCTTTAAGCTTGAGCTTTTGACACATGTCATTTCAAGTCATTCATAATTTCCCTTTTAAAAGCTTTACACTTAATTCATATGTAAGCTGACTCTTATTTTATAAACATATTTTCTTATAATAATCGTTAATTTCAAAGCCTTGCTAT